AAAAGAAAAGAAAAAAAGTTTCCTTCTGTAACTTTGAATTACCGGCAACTTACTATATACAAATTAAACAGAGTGTTTTTTCTAAGCACATGCTTATTTAGAGCAAAGTATGTTTGCTTTCGAGAAACGTCTAGCAGCTCTAGACAATTCTATTCTGACGAAGTCATAAACACCCGGTGTAGGCTACTGATGGCCGTAGTGCATTTAGTGTAAAATACATTACTATAAAATAGACAGTGTTTTCTTTTAAAAAGGTCTCATCTACATACGTATCAATGCCCATTTGTTTTCATCTGGTTGACTTGACATTTTCACCAGAGTACAGAAGACCTTTTTTCTTTAAATTTTTTGCCGCTGGACTTGCAGGTTTTTAGTATTGATAACGGCTGTTTTTGAAAGATTTATCAGTATTTTCGTTAGTTAAATTTTTCCACTAAAAAATGACTTCTTAAAATGTGGGATTGTGTTTTCTCGATGCAACTTGATGAGCTCTATCCAATCATACCAAAAGAAGAGAAAAAAAGTTTGCTGCTGTAACTTTGAATTGTCGATATCTAAAAAGAATTAGTGAAAATGAAGATTTCGAATCTTTCAACGATAACAAAAAGATCTACGGTGGGACTTTTAGACAAAATAAAACATTTTGAGCAGAGCGTGTCACAAGGTCAAATTTTATTTTCTTGAAGCCGCTCTCGCTCGATTTCTCATACAAAATCATGTTTAGTTTTTTTAATTTTTGACAACATTTGGTAGTAAGGGAGTAATAGAAACTTTTTTCATTTGTATTTTATTTTTCTTTCGTTTATACTTAGACAGGCGCAATTAAATAGTGAATTCATTTTGCCTGTTATGTTATTTTCGACTTAAATGGCTCTGTTAACGTGAGAATAAAAACATGTGTCGTGAATAATTATGTATTGAATTTTACATACTTATGCAAATAAATGTAGTTTTAATTTTATCCAAGAATATAGTTGAAATATCTTATCTCATATCTTTGCTTATAATACTTTGTTTGGTAACTATGTAAGTTGTAACCCATAAATCACCTCCTCCTCATTCTCTTTGTTTTAGATAGTTTGTGTTGCCTCTGATAAATATTCATCGGTAAATGCTAAGTGTTTATTACTGACCCTTATTGATAATACCTATCCTGTTCTTCATTGTTGTCTGACACACCTGTGATCGCCAATTTCTTCTAGTTACAGCTTCTTATCTGATTAAACAGTTTTTTTTTTAGCATTTTATCAACTATGCGTTTAGAAACAGTAGTTCTATTTATTGCCTTAATTATGGGCTTACAAGCAAAATTTGTAATAGATCTAAATGATAACAGTAATGACAGTGAAAAAGTTGTTCATGAGGGTAAGAATATATACATTGATTTTTTTTGTTTGAAATCATTGTCAAAAATTTAATAAATTGAAAAAAATGTTTTCTGTTATATTATAGGTCATTGCCCAATTCATATGTATCATTGTAATGTGATGTGTATGGGCGATATGAGTCAAAGAGGTTGTAAATTTAATGATGGAAACTGTCCAAATCATCAAAAATGTTGTGCTCCAGCATGTGGATGTTCACCACAGTGTGTAGATGCAGCGAAAACGGCTAATCCATTTCCAAATAAAGGTTAAAATAATATCATATTTTAATTTTGTGTACAACCAATAGGATGCAACTTTGCCTTAATTGTAAACTTTTAATCACTTGTTTTTCGTTGATCATACACATATTATTCGAATTAATGAATAAGATGGAGGCAAGAAGTTGAGAAACATATTGTTTTATTCATGTGCTGTGGCTCAATGTAACTTGAGATTTATATCTAGTTGGTCTATTCGGCATCTTAAAATTCTCATTTCATAGCGGAAAAGTGCTGAAAATCATTCACTACTCTGACGTTATTGTTGTGTTACAGTGCACAAAGACTGAATTTATTTTTTACAATTTTCCGAGCAGATCACAATCTCAAAAGTTAACGGGTAGCGGCAAGGTCTTATTTGGGAAAGATTATATCGTTGCTACAATAGCGAAGTTCATCTTCTAACTGCCGACGCAGGAACGATCGATAACATTCGGTTATTTGAAATAACCGAACGTTATCGATCTCTCTTAAAATAAGTGGCGCGGGGGGGGGGGGGGGGGGGGGGGGGGGGGGGGGGGCGGGGGGGGGGGGGGGGGGGGGGGGGGGGGGGGGGGGGGGGG